CCTTAGTGACACAATCAGTGAGAAAGATTGAGACGTTGAAGTTGATATTCTGATTGGAGCGGATTCAGTACTGGAATGTTGTGACCGAGGGTTGTCAGAGGTGAGATGGCCCAACAGCTGTACACACAAGTTTGGTGGTGTTGTCAGGCCCTGTACATGAAGCTGACGTACCTACCCTGTAAACCTAATGACTCATGTTAATCTGTGCCTGAAGTCTCAAATGAAGGTCCCCTCAATGAGGCACCTGAAACAGTTCTGGAATCTCGAAAGCCTGGGTATAAAGCCGAACGAAGACCGTGTCCACGAACACTTTGAAGAACCGTCGAGTTTGATGGAAACAAGATATCAAGTAGAGCTACGTGGAAGGATCCACATCCACCATTACAGACAACAGGGATGTTGCTCACTCTAGATTATGAACCTCTTAAGGAGAATGTAATGTCCCCTGAGATCCTGAGAGAGTATGATCGAGTGATGAGGGATCAGATGAAACAAGGAATCGTGGAACCTGTAACTCCCATAGAGAATGAGACTGAGGAGTCTACCATCCACTACCTGGCACATCATGGAGTCATACGTTGTGACAAGGACACAACCAAACTAAGGATTGTCTATGATGCGTCGTGTCGATCTCATGGAATCTCCTTAAATGACTGCTTGTACGTTGGTCCTGCTCTTCTAGAAAACATCCTTGACATACTGCTGAGATTCCGGTGCAAGCCTGTAGCCCTTACTGGAGACATTGAAAAGGCTTTCCTGATGGTTGGCATAAAGAAGCCCGACCAAGATGCCTTACGTTTCTTGTGGGTTCGTGATATTGAAGATACCGAACTGGATGTTGTAGAGCTACGATTCACCAGAGTAGTATTTGGCGTGTCGTCAAGTCCCTTCCTACTGAACGCCACAATACACCACCACATGTCGAAGGATGGCGACTTGTCCTTCACAGAGAGATTCATGAGATCTATATATGTTGATGACATGACGGTCTGTTTCGACACTACGGATGATGCCTATGACTTCTATGAGAAAGCGAAAGCCCGTCTGCTATCTGGAGGATTTAACCTACGGAAGTTCGCCAGCAATTCGGTGGAACTGATGGATCGGATAAAG